CTTATATGAATGATACATTGTAACTAATTATATATTTATATATATAATATTATTATTAGTAGTAGTAGTAATAGTAGTAATTAATTACTAATCATTAATCATTAAAATATTTTGGTTTTATATTTATATTAATATTTATATTCATGTCATACATTGTGCAATATTATTATATTTAACTTTAAATAGCAATTATGCTATATTAAAGCTAAATTATGACTAATTTAATATATATCATACAAAGTTCTTAACAGACAGTTATTGCTGCATATTTAAATATATAAAGACATAAAAATACATATGCATACAAGTTATAAAAATTTAAAATCACGAAAACTTCTACTAAAATAAATAAGTGCCAAATATATTATTATAAAACTAGTAAAATTAGTTTTGAACTATATATAATTATAATTACAATAAGAATTACATGTGACTATCAACATAGATTGAAAATCTAACCTTTAACTTTCAATGTTAAAAATATATATACATTTACAGCATTATTAACTAATATCAGGCACCAATAATCCAAAATTATTACATATTTATATATATATATTAATTATTCACTTACTAATGTAAGCGCAGCTCGCGTAGCAAGTATTTTTCTACCTTTGACAGCTCGAACAGTTGCTGCAGCAACCACGGAAGAAGCCATATTGATCTCTTACGCCAATGTATGTGCATGTGAAATGCAAGCATGAATATGCAAGCATGAACCTTATACGTCATTTACTTAAAAAGATATATTTAGTATCACGACTGTGACGTGCTTTTTGCATTTAACCATTGACTAATTAGCATCTTTTTTTAGCATCAGTTTTTTAGCATCTTCTACGCTTAAACAACGGTGAATTACAGAACTACGTTAAACAAAATGAAACAAATTGGTTCAGGAAAATAATATCCATTACAGTGTTGTGAATTATATATCTTCAGCGCAGATGAGATATAAATACATATACCTCGTCTATGCCTCTAGATTTCGATTGCAAGAAAGCAATATCTAGAACTATTGACTAATTAGGTAGTATTAAAATAAAATTGTATTATAAATTAGTATTTTACCACAAAAGTTCTGCTTATTATAATCGAAGAAAATAGAAAAAATATTAATAAGTAAGAAAAATATTTAGGTTAATGATGAAAAGTTTAATTTTAAATTGAATAAAGTGAATTTGACTAAAATTATATATAATAAAATTCATAAATACTTTATGTTAATATGAAATTAATCATAAAGGTTTTTAGAATTGGATGATGAACAGCTGAATTCAAAATTGTTTATTATACCAATTTTCATTCTTCTTACAATATGTATGTTCATCATATAAATTAGTGATTTTAATCCAAAAAGATATTAATCCAAAAAAATTTAAGATTTAAAACTGTTAACTTTGAAATGCATCATTGACAGGTTCGTCATCATCATCATCTTCTTCTCCTTCACTTTCAAATGTATTATCCGGAATATCGTATAATCTTATCATTGGTTTATTTGGATCTTTCATAATTAAATATTTTCCATCTTTCTGCTTCATGCAAATGTCGATAATACATCGTAAAATACCCCATGCATTATCCATATTAAGATTAATTTGTGTTGCAAATTCATTTGGCTTATATTGCTGTGTACCAAGAATGACATGTTTACTGGAATCTCTAACCATTGCTCTAGAGACATAACCAAATTTCAATTGGTCTGAACCTGCTAATAATGCTTGAACAGTCCACTTAGCTAACTTACAAGCATTATTGCGCAATTCATTCGCTAATACTGCACCACGCTGTGTATCTAATTTTTGCCTCCATTCAACACCGTTGGCTAATTTCGAGTCCCATTCGTTTAAAGCTTTAATTGTTAAAAATTGAGTTTCATTGTTAGGACCCTGCATTACAGCATCATGTTCACATCTTGCAACAAGAACAATTCCATTATTTAAATCCCATTTTCTATACCGATATGCAACACTAGCAACATCACCTTCTTCTTCTTCTGAAATAAATGGATTTCCTTCCTCAAATTTGTATCTAGGTTCATTGGATTTCAGCACTTGTTGAGAAAAGTTGTGATTAATAAATGTAGCTTCTAATGCTAAGTTTCTAGGAGAATTTAAAGAATTGCCATCATCTTGAGGAGGCTCAACGCTGGTTTCATTTACAGTTAATAAATCAAATTCAGTATTATCTCGTTTATCAAAAAATAGCTTGTCTCCAATTTTTTCAATTACAATATCCCAAGAGTAATTGCTACGAGTACAACACATTATTGTTGCTAAGATTGCATCTGTAGCATAAACATTTCCTTCTGTTTTTGAAAGCTTACGAATTATTGGATCATCAGTAGTAGTAACTGTGTGGAAAATTCTATCAATTCTTTGCAATGGCTTTTCACTTTTGACATTCACTCTGTCATAAGTTTTATCATAATATTCAAGAGATCCACAACATAAAATATCTTCCCCATCTTTTACACCAGGTAGAGATAGTTTTGCTAAACGTGGAAAATCCATTTCTTCAATTGTTACCCAATCGGGTCTTACGGTAACAGATGCATCGCGAATTTTAATTGGCGGTTGATTTTTATGATTGCGTAGACCTTGCTGTCTACCCCAACGTTTTGCTTGCCCTTTACGATCTCTTTCGCGAAGTTTTAATTTACCAAGTTGTTGCATTTGGCTCAACGAACCACGTTGGCTTCCACGACCGCGTAAGTTCCTTTGGTTATGACGGAATCTACCACCACGTTGATAAGGTGGTTTTTGTACACGGGTAGTATCAACCAAATGGAAAGTTGTTTCATCTTCATCATGATAGTATGCATATTGGCTACCTGAACCAAACTGCGATGTATATTTGTCTGTAAAAAATTTCTTTATTAAACAAGCATATGAGATTATATAGGTATGTAAATAACACTTTCATAAATAACAAATGTATGTAAACATTTTGTTTACATTATTCTTAGAGAAATTAAGATGGTCTTCAATCTTTTTTAATGTATAAGTATGAACATTATTATGTTGAAATACAACATAAACTAAAAAACCTATTTTCCAGGAACATAACGTTACTTGTAACATATAACTAACTTTTTTAGCTTATATCATATAATACCATATATGTTATAAACATTTTTTAGATTTTTGTATAAAATGTAATATATTTTCATTATTTATAATGCACTTATGTTTAATTAAATTGATATATTTTCATATTTATGATTATAAAGCAATTTATAAAAAATATTTAAAATAACTTATAAATAAATTAATATAATTGTCATATAATCTTTGAAAGCATTAAATCATGAACTATAAAATTTATTATCATAACTTACTAAAATCAAACGTAAAAAATTATAAATTATGAACATAAAAAATTACTTTATATTAATTTATTTATATTAACCTATAATATAATGTTTATAATAATACTTTAATTAAGATATTCCTAATTTACAAACTAATTAAAATATAATCAATTATATTCATAATTACCTCAATTAATTATTTCACACTAATTAAATAGGTTAAATAAATGGAATAGATCAAAAAAAATAATACTTACTAGGAAATTTCTTATCTTGGAAAGCTGGTGTAGTCCAATCAGATATCTATATAAAAAATAAAATGTGCATATGTGAAAAATTTTCATAAGTGAAAAAAACTGAACCAAATTTGACGAACCTTCCCTAATCTATCCCCTTTTGAAAATGGTTGATAAGGTATATCCTTAAATTGGTCAGGTAATTCACATGGTCCCCAACCATCAGGATTATGCTGAATTGCAGGAGCTTGAAAATGAGCTATCTCTTCCTCTCTGTGAACAGCATCTTCTAGGACAACCACGTCGTCCGTCATTCTGTACCTTCAATACGAAAGCGTGAGACACAATGGCACACTACTTGCCGGAAAGACGGACGACGCCATGATGGTTTTTCTAATAAAGCTTCATTCATACTATATAGTGATATCTGTATCCTAATAGCTTAAAATTTTTTATCAATGATTAACACATACAAATTGTTTATAAACTGCTTATATATTGTTTATATTCGAGTCACTTTTGTCACTTCTGCATCAAAACCAAAAAAAAAGAAACAAAAAAAAAAATCACAATCCAAATACGATTGTTCTTCTATTCTGTACCCACGTTTACTTATTGTTAGCGTAACGTCCCAATCTAAACTCTTTTCTCTTTAAAATCTTACTGATATATTGAAAAATTTGCCTGAGACATTCTTTTTCTTTTAATTTTGATTTTGTCATTGAAAATCAGTTCCGTACTATCGTTTGGAAACTACCATTAAATCTGAAGCCACGTGACCTTGCAAACGACCTCTAATTTGGTATTCGTATCATCCGTTTCTGGTCGTGTTTCACGATAACCCCTACATCATTGACACGTTCGGAACACGTTCATTGTCCGACTGTCCACGTAAAAAAGCCAGTGTAACGTCGAATTTTTTACGATTTGCTACTAAAACTGGTAGTAAAAGATCCACGAATCATCCGAGATATGATACGAACGACAACAAGTCTACGTAATGAATTGGCACACGCAATACTACGAAGTTCTGTGCGGACGAATACCGTAAGATCGGTGGTCATACGATGTCTTCACAGAAAATATTTACAGAGGTATTTCATTTTTTGTTATTGTCATCTTCGCTTATTGCTCTATGTATTATCATCCTCTGATTAACATTTATTTCGTTAATTGTGATTAAAGTTATCTTAATGAATATTCATTCTTTTAATTTTACTTGAAAGTTTTACTTCCACCTGTTATCACTGAGTATAATCAAAACCATATATGTAACTGATTTCTAGAATGATTTTTCTGTTTTTTTCTGTGTTTATTATATTTAATTTCTATTTATTCAAAATGTTTAACAACATAGATTGACATTTATATTATTATTATTATTATATAAATATAAGACTATTATTTTTTAAAATTTAGGATTCAAGTTCATAATAGCTTACGTTTTATGGTAACTCCATGGAAACAACAGTTAAGATATTATGCAGATTATCCAGATCATGTCAAAGTACAATTGCCAGCATTGTCACCAACTATGGAAACAGGCACAATTGTCAGTTGGCATAAGAAAGAAGGTAATATAAATAATTTACGATATCCAATAAGATCATTATTAATTTTTAACTTTATTGTTATTTTAGGTGATAAGTTGAATGAAGGTGATTTACTTGCGGAAATTGAAACTGATAAAGCAACAATGGGTTTTGAAACACCAGAAGAGGGTTATCTAGCAAAAATTATAGTACCTGCAGGAACAAAAAATGTTGCTATAGGCAAATTAGTTTGTATAATTGTCCCAGATGAAGCTTCTGTTACTGCCTTCAAAGATTTTAAGGATGATGCTCCAGCTGCTCCTGCACCAGCTGCCCCTGCACCAAGTGCTCCTACTCCGGCCACTCCTCCACCATCTCCTGTAACACCACCAGCACCTGCAGCACCTTCTGCTCCAAAACCACTGCCTACTACACCAGGAGAGAGAATATATGCTAGCCCATTAGCTAAACGACTTGCAGCCGAGAAAGGCCTTAGTCTGCAAGTAAGTTTTAGATTATATAAAATTAAAGAATATGGAATAATTGTATTCTTTTTTTAAAGGGTCTAACAGGTTCAGGATTATATGGATCCATAACGTCCAAAGATTTAGCAGGTGCATCGGTTGCAGTTTCTCAACCTGCAGTGACAGCCACAGGTGTACCAGGAGTAGATGTTCCTGTATCCAATATCCGCGCAGTAATTGCGAAACGTTTATTGGAAAGTAAACAAACAATTCCACATTATTATTTATCAATAGATGTAAAAATGGACGCCGCTCTTGAAATGCGAGAGCAGTTTAATAAAATGTTAGAGAAAGACAAAATAAAACTTAGTGTAAACGATATTATTATCAAGGGAATGGCGATGGCTTGTAAAAAAGTACCTGAAGGTAACAGTGCATGGTTGGGAGAAATTATTAGGCAGTAAGTAATAATAAACATAGTGTGTCCATTTGAAAATTTTTAGTCCAAATATCTTGAAAATAATTTTTTTTGGAAGAAAATGTTTAATACAAAAGTTTCAAGAAAAAAGTATAACTGTCACTACTTGCTTTTTATTTGTTAAGTATTTTGCATTTTAAAAGTTATTTGAAGCTCAACTTTCTTTTTTTAAATGAAAAGATACATTTTTCTTTGCAGATTCTTATTTTATAGTAAAAAAGAGAAAACTTGTATAAAACATTTTTTATTATAGTACTTATCCTTAAAAAGATATTCATTAAGATAGAAATTTATTTTCTACAGTCAAAATAGAAAAAACAGAAAGTGAAATAATATGAACGAAACTTATTTAATTTTTCTGGCCATTTTTAAAATGATAAGGTGAAAATGACACAATCGTTGTTAGAAGAGATTTTCAAAATGTTCTCCATCTTATGCTAGGTAATGGTACAATATTAGGAAAGTAAGAATAAAATTTGAGCAGAAATTGTACCATAGCCTAGCATAAAATGAAGAACATTCTGAAAACTTTTTCTAAGGATTGCGCATTCTGATTCATTATGTAATAAAAAAAATAAGATAAAAAATATAATAGTTGTATTAAACACTTGTCGAAAAAGCATTGTTTCCGATATATTGGAAATTTTTAAGTGAACACCAGTAGCAGAAATGATAATCACATGGGTTAAATTTCTTTTCTTTTTTTTTTTTAGATACAATAATGTTGATGTAAGTGTAGCAGTGAGTACAGAAAGTGGCCTAATTACTCCAATAGTTTTTAGTGCAGACACAAAAGGTATAGTTCAAATCAGCAAGGATATAAAAGCATTAGCTACAAAAGCAAGAGAAGGAAAATTGCAACCGCAAGAATTCCAAGGAGGAACTATTACTTTATCGAATTTAGGAATGTTCGGCATTAAAAACTTTTCTGCTATTATAAATCCTCCTCAGTCAATCATTCTAGCTGTAGGCACAACTGAAACAAGGTTAATACCTGCCAAGAATGAAAAAGGGTAAATATCTTTTCTATATTCTCTTTATTTAATATTTTTTTCATTTCATTACTTACTAATTCTTTTTAGATTCACAATTTCTCAATTTATGTCGGTCACTGCCAGCTGTGATCATCGTACCGTAGACGGTGCAGTAGGCGCACAATGGCTAACAGCTTTTAAGAGTTTCATTGAAAATCCAACAACTATGTTGTTGTAGTAAATTCATCCATTGAAATGTTCAGTGGAGTAGTTTGGACAGGTGCAAATTATATGGAAAAAAACATTTTCTTATTCAGATAACTGACCAAGACTTTTGGTCCAAGAGTATTCTGTATATTTATGTATAATACAATATCAAATTTACTTTACGCATTTGTAAATCATCAATTTTTGATGAATTCAAATTTTTTCAAAAACATATTTTATTTCTTGTAAAAAGCAAAAATATCATTAAGGCAGGAGAATTTCAGAAATTGACATTTTTTTCTAATTTACTATGTACAGGATCTCACTTGATTTTAGCATCTTGATTTACTTGAGATTTACTTGAGAAATATCTCAATTTAAATTGAATATATTTGAATTACTAGACTTTTCGTGAGTAGATGCGTAAAAGTCGTATGAATATTCATTTCATTTTTTTTAATGAAATTATATTTTTTAATACATACGAATAATAATAACTGTCAAGATGTCAAAATCAAACGAAACACCCTGTATATATATGCGTGTGGTTTTTCAGTGAACATAAAGTATAAGACTGACCATTTATTTCACTACTAAAAGAAATAACAATCTCATTACTTTATTATTGAAAAACTACATCTTCCCCATAGCAATAATAGTGGCCACGTGTAAATATGTGTATTTATGAAATGATATTATGGCCATCGTATATTGCAATAATTCAATTGTAACTTAGGGGAAATTGTTAAGCGAAATGTGTCAAAATGTTTATAGTGAATAATATACACAAATGTGTATCATATTTAATAAATTCTAATTTAAAGGTTTCATGTTGTTCTTATTTTTAAGCTTATGTTATGTATAGATATACAAAATAGTATCTAAATATCTTTAAACTTATGTTATATATAGATATGCAAAATATCTTTAAACTTATGTTATATATCAGATCATAGAAACAAGGTGACGTTACATTGTTTTCAAACCACTTTACTTTCCTCAGGTGAAAAAGATAATGTCCTCTGGCCATTGCCAGATTTGACAAACATGGTTTATTTTCGCATGGGGGAATTTGCCGGTAGAAAGTAGGTAGAGTGGTAGTGGAAATGTTGTGACGTCATGTGCCTACGATCTGACAATTCTGCTGCCATTTAGTAAACTTATGTTCTTGTCTATCAAGTCTGCGAAGCATCGTACAGTTTATAATTAAAATTATTCATTATGCCGATTTTAGATAAACGTAAAGGAGATGATATTTTAGCATTAGTTCCTGCCTCAAAACGAACAAAAAATGAAGTAGTGTTTAGTAGCAGAGAGAAAGCTGTTGTACAAAATGTAAACTAAACTTAACCTTATTCTTATATTTATTGAATGTAGTTTTAAAATAAAAGTTTGAAATAAACGTTATTGTTTTTCAGGGTCCACCTAGAACATCTTCTTTGTTTGCACCCATTATGTTGCTTGAAGGACATCAAGGAGATATATTTTCTCTTGAATTTCATCCAGAGGGTCAATATCTTGCTTCGTCAGGCTTTGACAGACAAATTTGTATGTTATCAATAATTTGAAATATTTTGAACATATTACATATTTTTATATTTTATATATTATATTTTTTTTATATTTTTAGTTATTTGGAATGTTTATGGAGAATGTGAAAATATTTCTGTATTAACTGGACATAGTGGAGCAGTTATGGAAGTACATTTTAGTCCAGATGGAAATCATTTATATACAGCTAGTACAGATATGACATTAGGTTTATGGGACATAGTTGCTGGAACTAGAATAAAAAAACTCAAAGGACATACTTCCTTTGTAAACTCTGTGTCTGGAGCAAGAAGAGGTATTACACAACTTTGTTCAGGTAGTGATGATAGCACAATACGTGTTTGGGATCCTAGAAAAAGAGGACAATGTTATACACTAAACAATACATATCAGGTAATATTGTTTTCATAATAGTTTCTAATTTTTTATTTATAAAGTTTTAATATTTTCTTTTTCCTCTTTTTCTCTTTCTCTCTCTCCCTCCTTCTTCTATTTCTGTCTTTTTTAATTTAGGTTACTGCTGTAACATTTAACGATACAGCAGAACAAGTAATAAGTGGTGGAATAGACAATGATATAAAAGTATGGGATTTAAGAAAAAATTCAATTCTTTATAAACTAAAAGGACATTCTGATAGTATAACTGGATTAAGCCTTAGTCCAGATGGCTCTTATATATTATCTAATGCTATAGACAATACATTAAGAATTTGGGATGTGAGACCATTTGCTCCTTATGAACGTTGTGTAAAAATTCTTTCTGGGCATCAGCATAACTTTGAAAAAGTAATTAGATATATCAGCATACTTTGAAAAACAATATTATTGTTTGTGTATTATTGAAATTTTATGATTTTATTTATTTAAATAATTGCAGAATCTCCTGAGATGTGCATGGTCCCCAGATGGTAGTAAAGTATCAGCTGGATCATCAGATAGATTTCACTACATTTGGGATACTACAAGTCGTAGAATATTGTACAAATTACCTGGCCATAATGGCTCTGTTAATGATATTGACTTTCATCCAAAGGAGCCAATTGGTAATACATATAAAAATAATACATATATAAAATTACAAACTGTTGTAATCTGTTGTAATATAAAATATTTTAAATATGTTTTTCTTATTTTCAGTTTGCTCTGGCTCCAGTGATAAACAAATATATCTGGGAGAAATTGAAACTGCACAATAAATAAATTAAAATTGCACTTAAATTTGAATATTTGTATACAATAAAATCTGTAATGTTGAAATAATATTAATTCAAAAAATCATTTTATATCCTCATTTTCATTCTTTTATATGTCTATTTTATTATTAAAAAAACTTTTTTTTAATTCGGTCAATGGATAAAATATGTTGAAGATAAAAAAAAAAAAGTATGCTAGAAGTTATAAACGTAAAATTTTAAACTGAATGTATTGTGTAACTATTAGATTTCAAATTCAATTTGAATCTACGTATGTCAAACGCTTATCGATCTTCTACACCTCGTCTTAACTTCACGTGATATATTTTGATAACTGACGTTTTTATCTTCTCTTCATTCATTTATCTTCGTTTTATCGTCTTCCACATTTTTATTTATTCTAGTTGTAAGGTAAGTACGTATTTTCTTTTTAATTTTCTTGTAAAAGTATCATAAATTTTATGTTAAAATATTTATTTTACGGTGCTACTTATATCAAGCAGATGAATTGCAAAATATTAAGAAAGACTTTACTACGAAACGATTATTCTCATGTATTAATCATAATGAAGAAAATAATCACAAAATTCATTTCAGTAAAGAAGTTTAACATATTTTGTTTTATATTTTATAAATATAATTTTTTATTTTAATCAACTTAACCTTACTGTATGCTCCATTAATAAAAATATATGCGTGACACATTTGTTTTTTCAGGTTTGTAGTTTAATTTATTATTTGTAAAAATGTCAACTCCATGGGCGAAAATTCAGCCAGTAGAAGGCCCTATCAATTTATTGGAAATTACTTCAGAACAACTTGCAAAGAATTTAGAAGAAAAGTAAATCAAATAATTTTTTACATTTTTATTATGTTATGTTTATAGTTTGTTAGTATAAAAATGTATATTTTTACTAGAGAATTAAAAAAGTGTCAAATCGAAACAGTAGAAGATACAAATATCGAGAATTGTGCAATATGTGAAATTAATGATACAGATAATGACGAAGTAATTGCACATATGATGCAAGATCAGTTTAACAAAGAATATGATCTAATGCTAAAACGCACAGAGGAAAAATTCAATCGTGATTCCAAAGGTAAAATGTTCTTTTTTGGTAGTAAAATGTTTGTTTTTTAATAAATCTTATTTCAAATTTTATGACTTTTGTATTTCATAGTCAATATAACTTATATGAATTACCGAACTTCTCTGTGTGAGGACCAAGATGAAAAAGATTCAGACATTGAAGATACAACAAGAGATTTTGATAGATTTGTGGTAAATACTTTCTAATGTATAACAAAACCAGAATATTGAGTATTTGATACATATTTTATATTTTATAGAGTATAGAGAAGGAATATGCTTCTATACCACGTTGTGGATATAGAAAGATGGGTGGCAAAGACTCCCAAATTGTTACAAAACATGATATGTTAATGTCTTCAAGAATAAATGCTTGTAGAGTTTTACAATTTCCACCAGGTATTGATACAGGAGATACAGGAGGATTTGATGTCAAATTAAATAATAAAGTGTTCAATAGTTTAAGAGCTCATAGTCATGCTCAGTGTTCCAGACAGAAAGCAAAAACACGACCACATACAAAATAAAATAATCAAATATCTTGATGATATATTTGTATTTAAATTTACGACACTTTATTATTATATTACTTAATACAGGCTTTTCTTTCTCATGCGCAAATGCAAATTACTCAATTTTATCAAAACAAGATTGGTTTTAGACTTATTAAAATATAATTATTTTTGACATTAAACATTTGTTGAATGTTGTAATGATATTAACATTATTATATTGTAATACAAAGACACAGAGAACTAAATAAATGAATCTTATTAATTGCTATTTTATTATTTAAAGAATATTGTATATAAAATAAACGTATCTGTCATTTGCTTTGTTTAAAAATAGTATGACCTTCATTAGTCTATGAACTCATTCTTGTTACTAAAATTATTTCTCTATTAATAGTATATAAAATTAAAACAAATTATTTTTTGTGTTTTTTAAATTAATACTCTTCCTATTATTCTATATTCTTGTTCTATGTGAAAATCATAGTGATTTCATGATTATATTGTGACATCCTTGTTTCCAACTCTTGTTCCAAACTGGGAGATAAAAATAAGTACTACAAAAAAAGTACATTTCATGGAACTATTACACACTAAGGATGTCAATAGAATTAAAGTCAATAATCTTTGTTATAAATACATGAGTTGCAGATTTTTGTCAATATTAGTATAAAGAAATGAAAGTGATAATATTCTTGTGCTTCGGCAATCTTTATTGATATTTCATTCTTATTCTGAACAGGTGATTTTTTTTTTGAAATTGTAAAAAAAAAGTAATTTAATTCTTATGTATAAAATATTAATTTTTTATAAAAATATCAATAAGATTTTTATTATATTTTTATATAACATAATTTTATTTTTGGCGTGTATTACATTTTAATATATAATAATTTGATCATTTAGTTAATGTTATCATCTAGTTCTGGTTTCTTTTCCGATGATGACGGAAGATATTCCTTTCTATGAATAAAATGTGAAGATTGTTTAACTTCGTAAGTTCATGAACTAATTTAATTATAAATTACAACTACGTAGATATGAATATCTTACACTTCAGTTGATGATGATTCATTGATTTTCCTGTTATCATTGTCGAATAATTTTTGTCTTGTTTCACTTTCTTTCTGAGTTTCTTTCAAAATCAGATTATATATTTGTCTGTTTAACCGAGAAGATGGATAGTTAAACTTTTCAACGGAACTTTTCAACGATTCAAATATGTTTTCCTTCCCTTCTTGTTTATTAGTTCGGATAGTACTATCTTGCGTTATTTCTAATTGATGAGTTTTCTTGGCTACAAAATATAAATGATTCTTTTTTTTCTTTGTATCTGTTTATTTGCATATATATATATATATATATATATATATATATATATATATATATA